GCACGTGCCTGATGGGTTCCGTTTAGTAAGGAATCTCATCTCCAATCAGGTTTTGAAGTTTTGGCGAATCGTTGACCTGGGTTTGCTAAAGAGTCGGAAGAGCGTTTAATCTTGAATCAAAAACTTCCCTGGATCGAGCCTTGGTCAGATAACTAGCTTTTCGTACTTCCGCGCGGCTGATAAATGAGTGTCACTCTGCGGGAAGGAAACAACGACCTTACATTTGCCCTATAACTATTGTAGACTCTGCGTTTAAAATAATTCGCTTTTGGATAATGGCACGTAAATGAAAATTCGCTCCCCGCTTTTTTCATAGCATATCATGATAGTGTAAGACCCATATTCCAAAGGCTACAAACTTTCCTGTTTTTCCCTAGTCAGCATCAGTAATTTCCTAGGTAAAAAGTTATTTTACTGGAGTGATTCTGTAGCAGGGCTCCGGTTATTTAGTTCTGCGCAAAGCAGCGACCCGCAGACAGGCACTCTGTGTGATGAGCGAATGGCAGAAACGTTGTTTGTATCAGCCATAGGTGATTCTGATCTTCTGTGAAGGCGGTAGGCACTTTTAACCTTTGGTGTAGCTTATGACTGATTTCACTTTGATGCGGCAGTGAAACATACTGGTTAGTATTTGCATATTTCAGGTTGCTGAACCGCATCATGTGGTTCTGCAAGACCCCGTCGCTCAAAGACATGACCAGCAATCAGTATTACCGGGGCGAGACTTACACGATTAACTCTGACAACTCAGCCAGACAGAGGCAGATGCCGACTGACAGTTGCCCACCACCGAGTGTCAAAAACACAGCTGTTATAGGCTACGATGACAAGGTGAGTAACGAGTACACGAGGTATGTCAGCGAGTTATATAATTCAATACTATTCAGATTCTGGTCGACGACGTGTATACAGCGATCTACGAAGGTCTGCAGGAGATGCAGCAGGGAAAGGAACGGTACGTTACGGCATCAGACGCCGACAACATCAGTCGTTTCACAGTATCTGATGCAACCAATTGTCATAAGGTTGTGGAAAGAACGGAAGATGATTTGGACGAGGTAAAATCTTAGATTCCGATGTTTCAAGTTTACATACGATGCATACGAGGTTTACCTTATTTTATAGGCTGACTATTTTTCATAAACATCGATTGA